TCAATGACTGCTTTCTTGGTAACAGACATGTTAAAAGTAGGCCTGATTGTGAGGGAGAGGCAGAAATGCGAAGAGATGGTGATTGCATCCACTATGCGTAACGTGGTGAGGAAGTTGATGACATCACAAGATAGAGTTGTGAATTATGTGTTGGATTTGTGCATCTATTTGTTTTGTGTATATATTATCTATGCCAAATTTGGTGTAGGAAGAAAGCTGCAGGTCTCTAGACTCTACGAGCAATACTAATTCTTGCGTTGATAATATGTTTAACTAGTAAGTATTTGGTTATATATGTGCAAATTTACAACTTATTTGATATGTATTCACAGATGCCGAAGCAAAACCAGTTTACACATGATGTGTTTTGATAGGTATATTCTCAAATGGCATATGGAAAAGCTGTTGATCGAGGCAGAATGTGGACTGAGACTCATAGGAGAAAAGATGGGGTAAGTATTCTTTCTGTAGACAATTACTCGAGTAGATGATTATAGTATTGCACTATTTGAGATTTTGTTCTTTAACTCAATTTGCCTTAATTATAACCCTAGATAAGAAGGTTTGGTGGTCGAAGATTAGGGTAATGGAATAGTAGGTAGCTTAGTATTGTCGTACATTTATGTGGGAGACACAGAGGCCAGTCTCTTTTGCTTATCGTCTTTGTATCCAGTAGTAATATTAGTATTTACCTAATATCTTAGGGATAATGCCCAAATACCCCCTCAACCTATGCCCGAAATCTCAGATACACACTTATACTATACTAAGGTCCTATTACCCCCCTGAACTTAATTTATTATTAATTTTTTACCCCTTTTTAGCTTACGTGACACTATCTTGTGGGTCAAACGATGGTTGACTTTTTTTTCGAACTAGTGCCGCGTAGGCTAAAAAGGGGTAGAAAATTACATATAAAATAAGTTCAAGGGGGTAATAGGACCTTAGTATAGTACAAGTGTGTCTCTGGAATTTCGGACATAGGTTGAGGAGGTACTTGGGTATTTTCTCAATATCTTATTTAATAGACATAGAATCCATTGAGACATCTGAAGATGAATAGTAGTATAAATCTGATATATAATCCATTGAGACATCAAAAATGTCAATG